TTTATTCACACGTTTGGGGGAAATCAATTGGGGAGAGATCGAAACGAATATAGAAATATTGGTGTGGCTTTATTTATTGAGCGATATGTTGAAACATATGAGATAGAAGTATGATGAAGATTGACAACTTTATAAATAAGTGTATTTTTGTTTTTATATATTTTTTTTTTAATAATAAATTTTTTTACCGAAAAATTTTTACAAGATTTAACGGATTTGCGAAATATTTTCATTCGATTTTCTTCAGATGATGTATTTATAATACGTGTATGCATACAACAAATAATTGAACCAATGAATTAGAATAAAAGATGTAAACTTTCTTGACTACCATTTTGACGAAAATATAATTCTTCAGGTTTAAATATTCATGAATAATTCAAGAATTTATGTTACTTGTAATATTAATTTGTCGTCGCTCCTTAAGTAAGCATCACTGCCGAATTGATTTATCGAAAATAATTTTATCGACGGAACAACTTGGGCCGAAATGGGACTCGCCTCAAGTTTCGCAGGAAACAAATTTGTTGAATCGATCTCGTCGAAACGGCGCATTCTATTTAAGTTTTACGATCCCCACCGCCGATTTCGTCTCCGGTGAATCGTGTTCCAATCTTGCAACGTATCGCGAGTTTCATTGGATTCAAAGTTTCCGCGCGTTGAGCACTTCTGTCATTCTTCTCAGACGCTATAAACTCGAGTTATCGCGGTGAAAAATGGAGGATAGAAGGATGATACTCGAATGATAAATTGAATTATATCTGGGCAATTTGGAAACGATGCGTGGCGCAAAATGGCGAGAAAAGAATCTTCGAATTGCCTTGAAAACTGAGATTTACAAAAATCGTGACATAAACATTTACAACAGTAATTCTTTTTATCTCGTTCGATTTCGTATAACGTATCTCCCTGCCATTGACACACGAATATCGAATATAAATGCATGATGCAACGTCTATTGTACGAACAGTCACAACATCTGATAACTCTGCAACTCGTATACAGTCCAATGAAACACTATAATGGATGTGTCATAACTAAGGATATACGGGTACATTCGAGCTTATTCCACGTAATTAACTTATACATATAACAATTTACAACGAACGTTCTCCCATTTAAAAAAAACAGTCAAAACTAATCGGATCAAATCACGTGTCCTTCGACACCGTGCAAGTTTCATCTAACTCATTCACCTTTTCTTAAATGCCTCGCTCTATATAAATTGTCTCAACTTCCACTCTGTAAAGAATCAAGCACGAGATGCATTAACACGTGAACAGTAACGACAAAAGTAAACGAAATATTCGAAAGAAGATGATCCTCTCTCTTTATACAAATAATTAAATTCGCCTCCAAAGTATGTAATATATAAACGTTTTATTTTTATCGATTCAACCGCGCGCAGTCTCTCGACTCGGTACAATTACACATCCAATAACCGGTGCAAACACCACGGTTCATATAACGGGGGAGACTATCTGGCGGGGTGGAGGAAGAGGGCCGCGTGAACGCATATTAAAGGGCGAAGCAGCGTGTCGAAGGGGCAGGGACCGATACGCGTTTAAGTGGCGGCGGGACCCGTGATTCGAGCAGAAGCTCGAAACGACGTGTAACGCGTGGCGGCGGTCCGCGGGATACAGGTTTATGCATAAAACATGAGCGCGTTACTGGTTGTGCCTCGAATCGGAATTATTTACCGTGGTTAGCCGGACTCGCTGGAATTACGACGTAACCGTGTTCGAACAGAGGAGACTCGCGAACACTAATTACCCTTCGACGTTTCTGTTTCGAGAGATCCTTTTCAATCTCTTCGAAAAAAGTTTAAAAAAAGAAACTACGAATCTACGATTCTTTGAACTGTTGTTTTTAATCGTAGCCAATTTGTTAAAAATGATATATATATATATATGCATCTTGAAGGCAGGATAAAGGGGATTCTAATGTGTTATGAGACTAGCATGGATGTGTTAAATAAACGCTCACTTTTGACTCTCGTATATGTATATATATATATCGTTCACTTGCGAACAAGTCACAAAGGAATTCAATTTTCTCTCGAAGCATTCCCACCGATCCTAATCGATTTTTCGAAATCCACGTACGTTCACGCGCGAAATACTTGCAAAGCGGGAACAAAAACGAACGCGGAAGCCGATTTATTTTCGTGGGGGAGAAAAAAAGGGCTTTCCACGGTTGAACGATCATTAGATCTCGAATTGGACTTAATCTCGTATTTCTGAAACTTCGTTTCCCCCCGACGGTGCGGAATAATGCGAGGGAGAGGGGAAAGCGCCAAGTCAGAAGTCTCGAATGTTTGCAAATGGCGAAAAAAATAGGTCGATTGCTAAGTCTCGACGCCCGGCGAGGATAGCTGCGTTGATTGTGCCTCCGCTCTTCGAGTGGAAAAAAAAAAAAATATCCGCGAGATGATTACTCGATAAAATCCGGGGTGATTCGATCGAGAAATCGGGGAGAGACGAAAATCACTACCTCTAATTGGTCGACGCACATTCGTCGTGAATAGAGAACCGATCGAGATTTTGGATTCCGTCCGATGAACAGAGTTTTCGATAACGAAATTTTTGTTCCGAACAAAAATTTTTCAATTTTTTTTTAATCTCGTGCTCCTTAATGGAGCCGAAGATCGAGATTTTTGTGCAATAAAAATATACATGTCACGAAACAATTACAAATTAAAGTGTTTCCAAATATGGAAAATATTATCACGTAAGAAAAATATATTCGTGTAAAAGAAATATGTTAGTTTTTTCACGAAACGAAATTTAGGAGAAAAAAATCTCGAGCGATCACTTAAATATTAAATGATATCAAAGAAAAATATGGCTAACTCGTCAAAGGAAATCACCCTCTGAACCAATATTTAAACATAGAGATATAAAGTGCTCTTTCGATTGGAACGAATATCATGAATTTTTTTTTTTTCGATCTGATGGAAAAATTTGACCGGTTATTTAAATATTCGCGTACACAGGGGTGTAAAAAGAGGGGTGGCCTCGATCCAGGATCAATACGATGGCTATAACGATTTTCATATTCGCCAAGGCAAGAAGGTAGCACGGGTTCTTCGTCGGTATTCGGAACACGCTTTCAACGGTTCCACCGGAATTCCCGATCAGTTTTCCTTCCCTCTGGGTCGTGGCAAAATTTCCACGACGGAAGCAAAGAGAGAAGATCGGGTGGGGAACGTTTGAAGAGGAATCAATGGGCGGAGAGAAAGAAATGGATGGTCGTTGCTGAGTTTTTCTATTGCGGGGGGATCTGCTTGTGATGGTGTAACGAGGTTTGATCTGACCGATGTTTAATTAGATGATTAATATTTGCTTTGGAAGTGTTTTTCTTGTAATTTGTTGTAATAATTGTAAGGTAAATGTTAATTTCCTTTTGTAATTACAATCTTTATTTTTAACTTAAATGTAACTTACAGAGGGAATAAGTACAAGTTATAACTTCTTGAAGAATATTTCCTTAAAGTCTATTCAACATATTTATTCTATTCTACTTCGTACCAGACAAACACTTAAAAAGTGTTTGAATTTTTATATGCGATCTATAAACAATTGGATGATATTTATATTATGATGTGAAAGAGGGTTAAAATATATTTCAAACATTTAATTTAGTAATTTTATTTATTTTGCAATTATAATATAATATACAAAAATATGAATGTACAATTTAATCTAAGATTCCTGAATGAAAAAAATTTTCGTTCCGACTTTTATTCGAACTTCACTTTTGTGTACAGCTTTACGTTCTCTCTTCTTTATAAAAATTTGCGCAATTTTTATCTCAAACTCCGGCTTCGAGGGGAAAAGCCCTGATAAAACAAATTGAACGCGGTTAAAATTTTCAGTGGCACGAGCGAAAGGTTTAAACAGCGAAAGATAAGCGAACAAGTGAGTAAAAATTTTCCAACAAGCGTACAACAATCCAACGATTCACTTTAAATTTATATTTAAGTGACGCATCGTACACGTCGTTCTGAGGATACGAGCAGACAAATATCTAAGCAATATACGTACTTATTGTTTTCCGATGCGCTGCACGCGATCGAAGAAATATCGCATCCTTCCAATAGTCTGACATCAAACTCTCGTGCTTACCTGTTTCGCGTATCTCTTAGCCAGTTGAGCAACGATAAATTGGACGATCTAACCTTAGATCCAGAACCGTTTCCATCTACGTGTGTATGTAATGGTAATATATATGGATTCAAGGTATAAAGGTGATATAGAAATTATTTATAAAAAATGAGCACGATCTAAAGTGAGAGCATCCATGCTCGATAAATCGACTCGATAGATCATTTGATTATATCGAATCGTAAAGTAAACGAAAGATTGATTGATTTCAAAGAATTTGTAACATTTTTATACAAAGAGAAACGTACGTGAACGTGTTGGCTTCTTCGAACTCTCAATTATTTCTCGAAACGTTGCTTCCTTATTTTTAATCGAGAATTCTCGTTGGAATAATTAAAAATAATAATATTTTTCCGCGATCTATGTTGGTCGAAATTCTTTCACGAGACGCATAATTACTCCCAAGCTACGATGTGTATATCCATTCAATGATCACAAACGCAGAGGAACGTATGTACCAATATGTACCGTCAGTTGTCAATTGTCTGTCCAATACTTGTAAACACCGGGAAACAGAGATCCCTAGAGACTGGAGAATATCGCGACAAGATATCCGATCAACGGCAGCATGCCGACCAATAAATCGTGCAACGTTTTCGAATAAATAACATCGCCAACCAAAAAAAAGATATCGATATTATACGTGATCAAACAAATTCGTAATAAGAGAAAACGAGGTTTAAAATTAACAAAATTAACACTAATTGAAAGTTTACTCACGACAATGGATAGATTAATTTTCAAAGAAGTTTAAAAGAATCTGATATTATTGTAAAAAAAAAGTCTATTATTATATATATATATATTAACTTTTTTAATCTTTAATTGTTACAGATCTATCAATAATAACCGATTCAATATCAACGAAATCGACGACGGCGGCAAAGCGATCGGTACCGACGGATGCGCCGATGTTGAACTACATTTTCGATGCGCACAGCACGCTGAACAAACATCAACACCATCACGACCATAGGTGGGGCCCTCATTTCGAGGGAGAAAGCAAGAATATGACGGTACAGGCTGGTGGTAGCGCCCTGCTTGACTGCAGGATATCCTTGCTTCAGGATAAAACCGTGAGTCTCTTCCTTCCTTAAGTTTTTTTTCCTCCTATTCTTTGGAAGATTGTGATTATGCACAGTGCAAATTCTAATTCTGTAGATTCATATAAATAATAAAGTATATATAGAAATTCGACAGATACATCTCAGGCTTGTTATCATTTTTTCATAACAATATTCTCGAGGTTTTGTTTTTTTTTCTAAATGGATAAGACTAGAAAACGTTTTCGAAAAGCCTCTCGTTCAACCAACGCTCAACACTTCGCTTCTTAACTGATACAACTTGTTTCTTAAATTTTCCACAAATATCCCTAATTCTTACGTATCATTCAACGAAAATATGCAAAACGCGTCAAAATATATGTAAATTTATGGAAAGTGTATGGAAAACATTTGTATAATATGCAAAAGTGAGGGAGAAGGGGGGGGTGGAGATGTTGTATATTTTCACATGTTTCTGTATACTTTTACACCCTCGCATATATCTCCATTGTTTTACATACCTTTTCCATACATTTCCCATCGTTTTGCATATCTTAACAGTTTAACAGTCAAGGTCTCGAATTTCGCCGGCTTACTCCCCCGTCAGGAAATTAGAAAGGCTATAATTCACAATTAATCTTGTAAAGCGTGGCAACGGTGGTTTCAGACGAAGACGGGTGGCCACGATTTATTCTAATTAATTTCTTTGCGCCCGCCATCCACCGGTCTTAGATCTCGGCTGTGTGACGCCGCTTCCGGGAGCTAGACGCGTCTATCGCAGTTGGAACAATCGCGCCGTTCGAATTAATTTAATATCCGGCCTCATTATACGCGCGCTGGTGTGGTTGAACAGGAATTATCGCTGCCGGCTAGATTTCGCGTGAATTTCCCCCGTAATCGTTGACATCCACGTCGCGTGAATTTGATCGTTTCCTGTTTCGATTATCGTAATCAATTCGCACGACGATTCTTCACTCTTCTCTTTTATTTTGATTTGAAAAATGACAAATAATTTCTAAAATTTCAGCCGTGGAACTTTTTATTCTGATTCTATTTCGAATTGGAATCGTATTGAAAAGTTTTTTCATTCAAATACGATTTATAGAATAATGATTCTATCGTATGATCTTAAATTAAAAAATTTCGTTTCACATTTTACTTTTACAAATATATGAGATAATATCGGAGAGATGGTTGTTAATTGTTCGAATAAGTAGAATTATATTTTCTTTTCAGTGAAATAAATTTTTAGAAGAAATATAGTGTAGGCAAGAATAATAATTTAAAATAAAATTATTCGAATAACACACGAATGAAAAATATCGACTTTGTACGAATAACATATTCGCTCATCTCATAATAATTATCGATGAAATTTTATTGTTACCACAAAATTCCTCGAACCTATCTATTTTTCGTCAATGATCAAGCAATATGATATGATCACTGGAGAAAGAAATTAGTTTGGAAAGGAACAACTATTCGACACTTGTGTTTGCTAGGTGACATTCAATGACATCTATCTTTTCAGATGAATTTACCAACTTCACTTTGAAATAGGGAAACGACGTCGAAACTAACTCTGCAGAAACTCGTAGGGCAATAGTTATATCCTAAAAGCAACGCACTTGGCTGAACCACGGTCGAGCTCGTCTCAGCGTAATATCAGGCTATTAATGTCGTTGCTGTTGTTAATATTGCTAACGATAGTGTCGACTAACGCGATTATCCATGCATAATTATCTTGAAAATGCACACGACTCGACTTAGACCGATATTTATTGGTGTACATTATTTGAATTTGCCGCCAAACATTCTTGGCTTCGTTCGCGATCGAGCATCAAATCGATTGAGATATTTTTAAAGAAAAAGTTTAAAGTTAGTTTAGGTTAAAATAAATATTATTTTAAACATTTTCTAATAAAAGATAATTTTAAAAATTTTGTCTTGAAAAGCAAATAATGAAACAGTATATTGTATTGAAAAAAATATGTACGTCTCGAAATCGCTGGGGATAAGATTCAAGAATTGAAATAGAAAAAAAAAATAAAGAATCAATAACATATAGTGTCGATCGGAATTTTCTACGAAATATTTCATGTTTTAGTTATAAAAGTAGCTAAAAGCAATCGATCACGATCGGTAGCGATCACGCGCGCCATTGATAACTGTCCATAGGCGGCAATCTCTGTTGAGCGGATAATAACGGGCTTGATATCCATGTCGAAGATGTACGATATCGCGCACATTTAATGGAGAATACCGGGAAACACTATCCAATTCCAGTTATGTGGATAATCTGTGGATTTCGGATCCTTGTTTATCAAACCACTATCTTATGATGCACGATTTGCATGTTTCCCTTCAATTTTCTATGCTCTAACATCTTATCTTATCTTTGAGCCAAACTTTAAATTAATATATATCATTTCAGTCGTTTCATTTGTAAATATTTAAAAGTATCATTTTGAAATTATTAGAAAATTTGTAAAGATAAATTAGAATTAATTTTGTCGAATATTTATAAAAGTAAACGAATATATAAACATTTATTTGGAATAATTTATCATCTGTACAAGACACTTTCGAGAAAGTAGATGGTAACGAGACATCTAGCGGCAAATCGCTGAAACTTAGATATTAGAAGTTAGAATTAGAAAGATTTGTCAAGTGTCTGGAACAGAGGAACCGAAAATCATGGTAATTGTCACCCATTCATCGAGATTATGCAAATTCCGTGCAAAATTACTATCATCCGATATTCCTTTCAAAATCCAAAACGTAACAAACTCTGTTCCCAAAATTTGATCCAATAACTAACGTGAAAATAATTTGTGTCGGCAGGTGTCTTGGGTACGTAGACAAGACAATGGGGAAAAGGTAAATTTGCTGACAGTGGGTCAGCAGACGTACATAGGAGACCCAAGGTACACGGTGAAGTTCCAATACCCGGATAACTGGCGTCTACAAATCCGACCGGTGAACAGTAGCGACGAGGGCCAGTACGAGTGCCAAGTCAGCACTCATCCGCCCAAGTATATTCACGTGAATCTTCACATCAACGGTAAGTACCGCAATAATTCACTTTTACGGCTATCGTAAAGTTAAACCCGCATCGTCAAATACGTCTGAAACGAGAGAAATTATCACTGGACGTATGTTATCTTTAATAATACGTTCCTCCTACTTCTATCGATCACATCGCGTTTTTGTTTCGTTCGATGGTGAAGTCAGGTAGTATTTGAACCATGATAAATATACTCGAATCGTTTCAATGATACAGATTAATTAAGCTTCACTCACGAAATATTAAGCTTCACTGCGACATTAGAACTTTAAAAAAATATATTTGACACGTGTTTTGACAGTTCTGTGTATTATTATCATCTATACAATATTTAGGTTTATTATTATCTTTAAAAATTTACCAGTTTTACCAGTTGCGCTATTTTTCTTTTCTATATAATACACATCAACTGGACTCCTTTTGATCAAGAAAGATAGAAAAGATCCAATTGTATAATTATAATTAAGTAGTGTACATCAATAATATATTATTTTCATTTCCAGTATCCCATAAAAGAATTAGTCATGCAAAAATGAGTTTATTGACAAAACTTATTCGCAGTTTTCCATGTTCCACATTCGTTTATCCCCCCGTATATCCAATAATATTTGCCTGTATCGTTTATTCCGTCAACTTCGTTAACTTTGTTTGTCAATCTGTTCACGCAGTCGTTTCGACGCGGTTTGATACATTTCCACACACATTAACGCGCTTATTGTATGCGATTTATTCCGAAAGCATCCTCAAACTACGTTCGTTTCAAAAAAAAAAAAAGCACGTTTTATCGGAGTTTCTGTTTAAATGCTAGACTAACTCTCCGCGTTTCTGTATTTCGTTTCTATTTCTGCGCCTTTGTATTAAAATCATTTATAAAAAAGAAAACTTTAAATGGGAAAAGTTTTTCCAATTTACTCATTGAAAAGTTATAAAAAGCATTTTACGTTATATATTTATGTATTTTATATATAAAAGTTATTTTTCGTAGATTATACTTTAATGCAATAACGATCTGATGCGACACTAGCGCCACGTGACTATTAACTACTAATATTCTAAGTTTCACAATAATTATTCGTTACTTTTTCACTTGTCGAATATTAAAATTATTATATTTCTCTAACATATTTTATTAATTCTTAAACTTGAAATTTATAAACTTCAAATATGTCGATCATCACTTTCTATTAATAAAAAGAGGAAATAAATATAAGATAGATAAATATGGACAAATAATACGAGAAACGCCAAAACTTGTAATTAATATCACTATTGAAATTCTCGTATGGTATGTTCGAGTCGTGATTGATATAACGTAGTTCAAATAAGCGCAATCATAGTAGAGAACCGAAAAAATAGAGACAGTAAACACGATGTGGAGGAAAAGGGATCGTTTCGAGAAATGGATTTATTGAATTGGGGGAGGAGGAAATGGAAATAGTAGGACAAAAGGTCGAAATGAGACGAGTTAAGTAGTCGCAAGGGAATGGCAGAGGAATTGGCTTGGTTCTTGGCGCGAATCGAGTTTAGGAAAAGAGGTCATTGAGTAAGTGATATGCTTTAAGCATGGAGATGCAAGAATTGCTGTAATTGGTTCTCTTCGATTCTTGTATTATTGATTTAATATAAGCATAAAGTATAATGAAGTTTTTGGAAAATTATAAATATACTACGAGATAAAATTATAATATACGAATAAATACGATTGTAGCATAATTTTTATTAGAGTTATACCACATCATTGATCATTTTAATGTGCTTCTTTAAAATTTTTTTCTCAACATCTTCTGAAAGATAATTAAACACGTTAAAGATCGTTTTTATTTGAAACACTTTTCGAAATGAAACGTTCAGAAAGAACGCAATAAAAGATTTCGAAAGTAAGGTGGTAATAATAGAGCGATTTTAAGATTACGTGTATTCATTTTAATTGAAAAAATAATGCAACATCCATTTTGGAAACGTTAAATTGGTCGAGCATTATGTTCCGTCCTTTGGGAGCAGAAACAGATGATTTAAATAATTAAAGTTGCCGGTACCATTTCAAAGGCAGTTTTAGGGAAATTCAATTTTACTGTTGCTACTACCAGAGGAATTCCAAACTCGAGAAGTTTGTTCGTTCGAGGAACGTTCGCGCGAATATTCTTGGTTAGGCGTCTATTCACCGGATTTTAAATCAAACTAATCATCTTATTCCTTCGAATCGAATTAATTGACGCGTCTTTGGAGGCGATATTGATCGACCGATAGAAACGTGAGTGAAATAAATTCTAAACAATGGTAACAGAAGCGAAGAGGAGGGGGGAAAAAAAAATTCACGTCGATAAAACTTTGCCAAGATTGGATTAACTCTGTTAAGAATTTTTTATCTCCTCCTTTCAAACAATGGTAATAGCAGTCTTCAAGAGGGCCAAAAGTACGTGTCGGTAAAGAAAACCCATCCATTTCCCCACAGGCCATGGTCTCGATGTAAATTAAATGGAAGACGTGAAATAACCCCTCTCTTTCTCGAAGTTAAGATTTTCCCTCAATGACGTCGGGAGAATCGTTTAAATCGGACAACCAGAGGGATAAAAGGTGAAAGCAGAGGGAAACAAAGAGGAGAGCTGGAAAGAAGTATTCAAGTATTCAGCGTGAGATCGAGGAAATTGGCTACGTTCCTGCTACTTTCGTGAACTACGGTGTCACGAAGCTCGCATTGGGAAAATCCGTCGTTGGGTGAATGCCGAAAGAAATAAAACCGCCACGATGGAAAAGGCAAGGAACGAGGAGGAGAAGTTGATTTCGAGCTGATTCCGTAATGTGATATATATTGGCCACGAAACATATTCGAACATATGACGAAGTATACAAATAGCACGAATAATTCTAAAAAAAACATTATATAATAATTATACATAATAAGTACAGCGATAGAATATCTTAAACACTTAAGCAATCGAAGTCTGCAAAAAGAGAAAAGTGTCTTCGTTGATTTACTTCACTAATTCACATAACGAATAAGCCTTAACTATTTTTATATACCAACTTTTGTGTTTGCTTCGATCGAAGGTGAATGTATACCCTATTACACCCTTGCATCCTTAAGATTAATTAATAATTCGTAAAAATTTCGTAACAGATTGCGAACGCAGAAATATAGGAAGAATAATAAAAAGAAAAGATATTTTTACTTCTATAAAGAAAAAAAGAAAACTCGTCGCAAGAGCTTGGCAAAAATTATGCGAAGCCATTATTGTGCACATCGTGCACAGTTCATCTCCGGCGTGGAGTAGAAAAGCAACGCGTTGTAATCATCTGGATAGAAGAGCTGAGCGCCATACATCGAGACCGGATGCTTACGAATATTAACAGTGGCTATGGTCGATGGTGGCTTGAATGGCGAAAATATTTTCCTCTGCGCGACCACGAGGGGTCCACCATCACAGGATTTTTCACAAAGAACAGGTTCCTTTTTTTTTCGCGATGGCGTATTCAGCCACGGCGGAAGGCAACGTTCGTCGAATGGTCAGCCAAAGAGTAAAAAATAGCGAGCAGACGGTGCAGGACGAAATGACGATTTCGACATGCACATCAAAGGGAACAGGAAAGAGGAGCGAGCCCTCTTCTTCTTCGACATTGCACGGTTTCATCGTCAATGCTCCAACCTGTAAATCATCAAACTAGAAACCGTGAGAGAAGAAAAATGAACGTTGCTGAGGAACGATACTGCGACTCGAAGGGAGTTTAAAATCGATGGTTGGATCATCTCGACGATCATTAATCACGAATATCAATTGATGTCTATGTAATTGTCTTGGTTTGATTTTCATCTACAATTATTCTTTGTTCTTCATTTAGATTCTATTTCTTTTCTGTTAGATGTTACATATTAATGAGTGAATATTCAAAACGTGAAAATGAGATTTAAGAAAAAGCAATTTGAATAAAAAATGTATTTCTACTCTCGCACAATTATCCATTGGATATTGATTTATACTTGAAAATTACTCGTCCTTTTTTTAAATCAGTTAATAAAGATCCTCCTACTTTATTTATATAAAATATATTAACCCGTTGCTTGTAAAGTCTGATTAATAACATCAATTAAATCGTAGACAACAAGAATTTTGGGAATGGCAAAAGAAAAAAAAGAGAGAGAAAGAAAAGTGTATCGATTTCTAATCTAACCTCCAAAACAGAGCAATCCAATAAGGGAAGGGATCCGAGGAACGTCAAAGAAATAGAAAGACAAAGAAAAGTTGATCAATCCTGTATCAAATCCTAAAGTACCCCAAGGCGAGAAGGATCCAAAGAGAATAAAAGTTGTAAAATCAAAGGAAAAGAGAAGGAATAAAAAAAAAAGCGATAGAAAGAGTATCGATTATCTCACAATCCCACCAATATTACAATCGTCTCAAATCAATCTCCTGCTAAACATCTTATCCCACTTTTAAGAATAGTCTTTCTTGCTTCGCGTTAACCAGCTTAGAAAATAGCGGAAGATAAAACACTGGGTAACAGGCTCGAAATAAAAGGAAGGGCGTGCAAGAATGGAATAAGCCGGAGGGAAAGAGAAAGAAAAAAAAAAAGAAGTCGAGGGAAGTTGAGAAACGAGAGACAGGATCTGAGCATTCCGCTTCTGATCGGATAAATTGGGTTCATTGGTCGAATTTTTGCGGCTCAGCAGGATAATTGAGGGCGAAGTGGCGTAGACTGGAGGAATGGACGTTCGAAAGGGAAGACTCCCTCCCTCCCCCTCCCCCTGGAAGCGGAACAACTTCATTTCGAGTGAAGAGGGACAGCCGGGGTGGGATCGAGATACGTCGTTTCCTGGAACAAAGGGAAGTGGGAGGGGTGGAAAGTGGTACTTAGAGGTAGACAGGAAAATGGACAGCGAGCTTGGAAAATGTAAAACTACGGGAGGAAGTTCATAAATGAAAAGGAAACAGACGAAATAAGAATCTCGGGCGGTGGAATAAAGGAAGCCCCGAAAACTAGGTTTTTTTCTCTTCCCCTTG